ACCGGTGAAAAGCTTCACAAATGACCGAAAACCCGTGCTCATCGTCGAGCACAGCGGCGACGAGCAGCCTACACGACGCGACAACGACAACACACGAACGTGTGGGAATCCCACGGCAGAACCTGCGCGACGACGAACGCTCGAGCATGTCAGAGCGCACATGCAGCCGTTAGTTGAGGCAATCGTCGTCGTCGACGTCGAGGACGGCGCTGAGTCGCAGGGTGAGTGGCGCTATAGGGGCAAGTTGACAGGGATGCGGGGGAGGAGATGTGGCGAGGGGCAGGCCTCGGAACGCCTCCGATAACGACGACGGAAGACGGGGCCGCAAGAGACTCGAGGCCACTGAAAGTCGCGACGAAACAAGAGGCGAACCCGGAGGCGAAGATCCAAGTCCGATCAAGCCTAACTAGGCTCGGGTGCCACACCCTGCCACCCCAGCCTAGTTAGGCTCCTTATCAGTGTCATCCAGGTGCTGTCGTGGTACTGTATTTCCCAACCGATACACCAAGTACTGTATACATACACCGTCAATTTATTCACTTCACATTTAGTCTCAGTAGCCGTCTGACTAGCCCTAGTGGCGTTTCAGACTCTCAGGCTTGCTTCACGAAATTTCCGGATCCTATTAACTGGTGGCCTCCTGGTTTGCGAGTATTGCTTCCCCTATACGTATTTCTAAGACACCTCGCCGGGAAGGAGTGAGCAGTTGTGGACGTGTTGTGTTGATCGAACTTCCCGAGACTGCCCAGCGTGGGAAATATATTGTGAGGCAGAGCCTTCAGTGGCGTCGACATAATCTTCGAGCATGACCACCATCTTGTCTCTCAACTGCCAGTGCCCTTCTCAGTCGTGCCGTTCACGTCTCTTGATAAAAACATATCAGAGCATCGCCGAGGAAAGCTTCAATAGGGTACTAGGTGCTCTGATCTGATTGCCACAGTACGGTTCGCCCGTCAACATAGTAAACTCGTCCGGCCGTGCCACCCCCTTCTGAATCTTCGTCAATTTCTATTCACAGAACCTATCGACGGCCCTCAGCATTTACGAATATCATAGGGATGCATATCGAGGTCCATAGGGCTGGAATATCGACTTTGCCCGTCGAGATTCTGGCAGAAATATTCTGGCACTGCGTCCCCGATGCTGCTACATTCCAGGATCCCGTACTATGGACGCATCAGGCGCACCCTCTCAATGCGCCCATCCTCCTTACTCGCGTGTCCCGATATTGGCGAGAAATTGCCCTCAATACTCCTTCGCTCTGGTCCTCGCTCTCGTTGGCTGATGGTGCCTGTGGCGGCATCAGGGTCGTCGATGCTTACTTGAGCGCTCTCAAGACCTGGCTCTCTCTATCACAGTCACTTCCTCTCCGAATCAAGCTGGACGCGGAAAATCATTATTCAATCATGATTACCTATCTCTCGCTGTTATGCGATGAGGCCGATCGCTGGAATGAAGTATATCTCGAGTCCTGTCATCCAACGCACTTCCAAACAAGTCATAAAAGCTCATTCCCGATACTCACCTCGCTTTCGTTGAAACTCACCTCGACAGACTACGGACACACCCAGTTTCCCGTATTTTTTGACGCTCTGTCATCTGCTCCCAACCTCCGCCGCGTTGACATCACTTTTCACTCAATGGCCGGCTTACCTCTGCCATGGTCAGCCCTCACGGAATACGCGTTCCGCTGCACGCATCACTACCTGCCAATCCTCGATTTACCTCAATTTGTGGTCGAGATGCGGAAATGTCACAGTTTGACCAAGGCACTCTTCGAGATCACGGAAGGCGTTTCCAGTTGCTGGATCAAGGTTGCCCTCGATGGCGATATGAATGACAATCTTCGTCGTGCCACTCTCCCTCGACTGCTTCATCTCACTATATCCACCGACGACACCAACGTCTTGGACGCCCTGTTCGATTCTCTCAGCGCACCGTCTCTAGAACATATCACCATACAAAGTACAGATCAATATGGGTCGCCATGGGGGCAATCAAACAATCTCGCACTGAAAGGGTTCCTCGCTTCATGTGCAGACTCCCTCACCTCCATACAAGTCGAAATCCCAGCAAACATGATCCCCGCGGGCCTTCTCATCGAGGTCTTACGAGACCTTCCAAGTCTTTTGACAATGTATTTCATAGGACCAGACGACTACCTCTACTGGTCCCATGTCCTCGACGCTCTGGTCAGTCGGGGTCACCAAGGGACGAACCTGAGGCTCCGTAGCTTTGGCGTGCACATCAACTCATGGTTCAGGCATAGGGAGCCTCGGCGCCATCGCAGAAACGCCTACGATCATGTCGTGCACTCATACCGTGGAAACAAACATGACCCTGACGATCAAAAACTCTTCTTCGACAGCCTGAAAGCCATGGTCGAATCACGCCTGCCGCCGATTCATGCTCTCGACGAGCAATCAGGTTCGGCCTCTTACACTAGTTTAGCAGGGCACCTAGAGACATTGAGGGTGTCTTCGAAGATATTTTCGGATGCGGAGGGGTTAGCGTCAGAACCTTCTGCCAATATGTTGCAGTTATGGAGCGCGGGAGGATTGAGATTGGAAATCACGCCTTCCAGAGAATGAGTAGATAGTCATTGGTCTTGGTCGGTTCTCTCTTTCGCTTTCAAGTGTTCATGGAGCTAATCTTTCTCGTCGGGTACTCTTCCACAACGCTAGGTATCCGAACAATCACTGAAATTCTATCATTCTATGTCAATGCATGAAATGTTATCATGTCCCGAAATTCACTATGAGCTTCATTGCGCGACAGAACCTCTCTTATTCTATATTCGTTACGTGCAGCGCTCAGCGACATCGGTGAATGCATTGGACAAGTAACATCACTTTTCCCGGATCAGCAATGGCGGTCGTCAACCTAGGGTGCTCTGTGGTCGACATGGTGGATGACTTGTGGAACGGAGCGAGCACCAGGAACTCATGCAATATTGACGTTCAGCTAGACGAAAGCATGCCTTTAAACCCGGGCTTGGTCGGTGCGAGTCACTGGTATGCATCATTCCCAACCTGCAGATATTGCGTGTATATTGAAAATACTGCAGAGCTAAATGGGCCCCAGCGGATTGAATAAACAATGAGGCGGAGAACACGAGCGACCTTTCACATGGAGCGCATTCATCGTGGCCTTCCAAGGATCATTTCTGCGCATAGGATTAGAAAGCCCCGTAAAAGCAAACATGTGGCCAAACAAAACCGCACTCTTTTCCATCTCTCTGGCAGCCATTATCTACTTGATTGTCGCTACAAGCCTGAGGCCTGAGCACGGACCTCAACTCTGACGAACTGAACAGAGCACTGGCAAAACCCGTTCCTCCTTCTCACTTATGTACGAAGGCAGGCATGTTGCGACGGTGCCCACAAGTTACCATCATGTCGTCCTCGTCCGACGCGTCTGCACCCCAGACAACGCGGTATAAAACTTTCACTATTCCGTGGCCCAAAGGCTAAGGAAGTAATCTGACGACTGTCCCACTTACATTCGCCATCGGACATTCTTTACCCACTCGATGGTTTCTTCATCGCCCATCTTGCTACTCCCCTTGGGGCGACGCAGACAGTGGACTATCGGAGTATATCAGTTACAATTACCCATTTCCACATTCCAAGTTCAAGCGTCCGGTCATACCCTGGCTACCTCGGACAAAGGAGTATGATGAGATTATCATCAAAGGTTTAGAGGATGCAGCGGTCGTGAAGCGCACGGGTGACGTCCATAAGATCGGGGATAAAGACTACGTCATGCTCGAGGTCCTCGTGTCAGAAAAGGAAAGGATCAAGATATGTGGAGGATGTAATATGTGGGAGGCTGGAGTCCCGGAGAAGGCCGCTGACTTCAAAGAATGGAAGCGGTGCTCCCGCTGCAACCAAACGTATTACTGCTCGGAATCGGTCAGTTTCTCCACTGGTTTTCGTCTCGAGACAGGACATAAGTACAACCCATACTGAATTGATCGATAGTGCCAAAAGGATCATTGGAAGAATGACTTTACACCACACAAGAGGGTATGTCCGATGCTTGCGAAAGGGGATCTATTTGAAGTGGAAGGGGTCATTCAGGCGGGAGAGGAACGGAAGAAAAGGACAATGGATCATGTCAGATAGTTCTGGATGAGTTGATATGTGTACATTCTCGGCGCAATTACTTTGGTAACGATACTCCGATGAATTGTCCGCAGAACTCAGCTTTCATCTCGTCCCGAGGCCCTTAACGGATTTTCAGGGAAAATGTTCGTTCTACTCCCACGCTAATGCAAACAATGGAATTATATCAGCATAAGCTACAATCCTAGCGGTAAGTGCATTCGAGCGAAAACTGCAACACACCTAAGTAACGTTCTTCACGCCCATGCCAGTGAAGAGTCACATCCAACCCTTCTTCACGACAATCGTCAATGGCGCTCAGCGCTGAGATGTCCATATTGACGTGTCCTCCAAACCAATCGAGATAAACCTTCTGCCATCTCGCCACACTAGGGCGCCACCGTGTCGTAGAGAGATGCGCATTAGACCACCAACGCGACATGATCACATCTCGAACACGGTCCGACGTGACCATATCCGCTTCTATGGGGTATTCCGTAACAGCGAGATCCTTGAGACGCGGTACAATAGGGGGTGTTGTCGCCTCGGGGTCGTAACAAAGCGCCTCAAATAAGATATCGGTCCCGGCATGCGATTTGTGCGCACGGAAGAGCTCGAGCATGGGGAGGAGGGCAAGGGTTTGTACGATATCGTCGCCATCGAAGGGTACGCAATGAAGGCGAAGATCGGTCAGCGTCGATCCGGAGCGCGAATATAAGAATGAGATATATTCAGGGGCTTCGAAAGCACGGGGCCCGCAGGCGAGTTCCAGATTGGAGAGCTGTGGCATGACGAATGGCTGGAAGAAACGAGCGCTGCCTTGCATCAGAAAGTCGTCATCGTCGGGTTCGTATAAGACTTCGAGAGCAAAATGATGTAGGTGTTTCAGAATGTATGGGTCCATGGCAAGATGCTCGCCAGCCATGGAAACACTGCCGAGGTCACAGTCTTCAATCGAGTGGCATTGACGAAGGAGGGCTTGGGCGTCCTGGGCGGTCGAGTATATTCCGTCGATATGAAGCATAGTCAACTGCGACCAAGGGAACACCAGACTGCGAAGGAGCCGCCTGCCTTTGGTGTCTTCTCCCCACTGGCAGTTGGCTGGTTCGTAGGATAGGATTACTTCTTTGAGATGCGGAGCACTTGCGAAAGCGAGGATCGGGCGTTCTGCTATCGCTTGCTGTAGTACACTGTCGTAAAAGCACATCGTGAGGCCTCGGAGCACAGGAAAAGTGTCCGTTGAAGTAGGAAATGTGGCGAGAGCATTGGAAGCCATCACTGGGAGATGAAGTTCAAATGAGTTCAAGCGGTGGAGGCTGGGGATGAGACACTCCAGAATCCGATCAGCTCCTGGAAGAATATTATGCCCTGTGTGGAAATATGAAAAATTTGGGCGGAATGTATATGGGTCGGACAAGTTAATGATCATTGTCATGACGGAGAGCCAATTTTCGGAAATTTGAGCATCGTCTCGAAGTCGAATATCTGGAGATTTCCACATGGACGGTGTTCGAAAAGCGACATCTCTCCACCTGCGGCAGACGTGGCCCAAAAGGAGATGGACGTGTTTGTTTTCAGTGGTGGTGGTTTTGACTGGGCTCTCGTGCCAGAGTAGGAAGATTGCTGACAGGATCTCGGGAGGTAATCGTCGCACTGCAGGACAGCTGGAGAACCTTATTTGTTCCTCCTTGATTCCAGCCTGTGTCTCCATAGCCATGGACCTTATCAGGTACTATGAAGGCAGATGGCAAGATAGGATCCACTATTGCGAAAATTTATGGCGGCTGAGCTAGAAGAAAGAATTTTCGAGACAAGTCAGAGACGGTGTACTAGTCGATTGGCGCGGATGAGCATACGTATTTGAAGGGATAGAGAAAACGATCGCCAAGGACAACTGACCCAGTGTATTCTCCCCAAATCCGGCGAGGCGAGCTCGTTTGTGAGCTCTTGGTGGTGTTGCGGTACTAGTAATGGTGCTCAATCCAGGAATACTGCAGCAATTTGATCTCCGCTCAAACTGCAATGTGCGCGCGGCGACGCTGGCTTCGCCAGTGGGCCGTCGTTCGGTCTCGCAATCACCATGCCTAATTATGATAACCCTTGTGAGCCATTAGGCAATCTTCACATGGGCAAGGACGATGCTGATGGCTAAAGACGCATCTTCCCCGATGATTGAAAAAGCAACAAGTCCGTAGAAGCGTCAGCTTTACGACTATAGAGGCCTACATACATCACAACGCGAGATTACAGGGTATCAGCAACTCACATGTCCTCATAGGTAAGGTGCATACAACAGACACTGGGTGAGTACTTTTACATACAGCGAAAGAGGGTCCGAGAAAGTCAGTCACATCCATACGTCGAACATAAGAAACATAAATCACGAATAAGACATAAAGACCGTAGTGCAGTGAGGTAGAATAGTATGAGATTCCGTCGGACTACCCTCATCAGCCCGCCACCACATATTAACACAAGCAAACCCAGAAACCAGAAGCAAGACGAAGAACGGGATGTCCTGTATGAACCCCGACCTCACCCTCACGACGCTCCGTCTGTGAGTCGCGACGTCGGCCTTCTTGTCCTCTTCGTCCCTTGGACGTTCAAACTCCCGGTCTGCACCATTTTCGGTGGCACATAATCATCGTCGCTCTCCTCAGCTGGCTGCGCTCGCTTCTTGCCAGATCCCCTCGGACGACCTGGCGGCCGTCTTGGGGGTATTACCACAGAAACAGATGCTGAGACCGGCGCGAGAGGAACGGGAGATGGAGGACGAGCGGGTACTGGAACGGAGATAGAGGCGGTTGATGTTGCTCGAGCTGCTTCAGCTGACTGGCTCTCCTCCGCGATGGGCAGCCGAGGGTGTCCCACCGGCGGAACACTTCTCTGCTTCTGCTGCAATCCAGTATCAAGGTATTGCGAAGCACTCAGCTGGTCCTCCTCATCTTCAGATTCTGGTTCAGTACCGTTCGAACCTTCGGCCTCTGACTCCACCTCGACCTTCGTCTTCGACTTCGACTTCATTCTCGTCAAAGCGGGGGCGGTGTCGTTATCAGTCTTCGTCTTCTTCGTAGGTGGTGCCTGCGAAAGGTTCTGAGCATTGGACTTGCGTCCACGTTTGGTCCCTCGGGTTGCGGGTGCTTGGCCCTTTTCGGAGACGTGACAGACTTCGATGTTCATGCCTATACGGCTGAGAACGTCGATCCATACCTGCATGATTAGCCAAACGTGTAGTCAGCGACTGTTTGGTGAATATGAGGCAAGAACGCCACCGACTTTCTGGTGCTCGCGGAGTACATCGTTGGGACTCTTAACCTCGACAAACTTGCACGTGCGCGGCTCCTTAACGTCCCAGAGCAAGAGATCGGGCATGCCTGCACGACGCTTCGCATAGTCTTCACAGAAGAGCTGGCAGACAGCGGCAAGGGCCTTCCCATTAAAGCACTAAAACGAAGGATATTAGGCCTCATAATATAGCCAGTCCGCGAGAGCGAAATTGAAGTGAGAACACTTACATTTACGATCTCCAACAATTCCCTTCTCTCGAACCTGTCCCAATTAACGCCCACACACCATGTCTTTGTCTCCCTAAACGCCGTATCTGTCTTCATGATGATCTCCGGTGCTTTCCCCGCAGAAATATCAGCCAGACGGGCCTCGATCATCTCCTTTCGAGAGAAATAGAAAGTGTCGTCGACGAGGTCGAGTGGGGCGCCTTGGTAAGGAGTTTCGAAGGCGCCTGGAATGGGGGCGAAGATTATGTCCCACATGAGAAGACCGAAGAGGGTGGCTATGATGCTGCCTTCACAGTGCAAACTGGAGTGAAAAGCGACATGTATTATGATAAGTGAGAATGAATGACCAAATCAGATTGAAGACATACCCCTTGTAGCCTTGGGCTTCATAGTGTTGCAGAGCCAGCGTCTCGACGTTGACCTCTTCTCCATCGCGCCCTACCCATACAGTCTTTCCCTTCTTCTTGAACTGAAAAGATGAAAAGCAGACGGCCACGTCAGCACCCATCGTCTTCGACCCCCTAATTTCCACATCAGCGGACACGGAGCCATAACTTACCACGGACGCTACCTTCGCCTTCTCCTTATCCTGCTCGGCATTCTCACCCTTCGTTACTACTTTCTCCTTCTTCACGTAGTACGCCGAGATAGGTTTGACCGGGCTGGCAGGTCTATCGCTCTTCTTGATGGGTTTGCCAAATGCATCGAGCACCAACGGTTCTGGATGTACGCGTTGGCCCTCGATACAGACTTTGTCGGGTTCGTTGAGCTTCCCCACGCATATGTGTCGGTCTTCCTCGGGTATCGAGAGATCTTTCTCGAGTGTAGTGAGGCGGCGTTCGAGCTTTGGTCGATAGACTGGAGAAAAAGAGCGGCTTTCAGTTTAACCACCAGGATCATGGAGCATGGATAGGTAGGAACTGCGTACTCAGATGGACATCCTCATCTTCAGCTAGCGCCCAGAAGACAGCTTCATACGCCAGGCTTCTCTTCTTGTCGCCTTTGGGATAGATCTTCGTCAGCGTGAGAGCTTTCTGCTCGTGCCACTGTCCTCTACGACCGCGACGCCACCGGCGCTGAGAGAGGAGCGAGTCCAAGATTTCGAGCTCGCGTGCGTAATTCTTCAATGAGTGATACGCCTCTACAGCCTTGAATGCGATGCGAGCGAAGATGTGGCCTATATCCATTATACGCAGATCAGCAGTTAGTTTCACGCCGTTATATGGGAGAGTTGAGAGCTAGAGGAAGAGCCAGTAAACGCACGTACCCTCTTCAAATCGCACAAGACTAAGAGCTCGCTCGGGCGCCTCATTCTTGACGGCCAACAAAGCCGTCCATCTCTCCCAAACCATCTCTTCGAAAATATCGACCACAGCTTTCGAAACCATGCTCTTCGTGCTCTCTTTCTCTGGCTCATCCTCCACTGCCTCCTCCTTGCCCTTACCCTTTGCAGCTACCTCATCCCTATCACCACTTTTCTTGCATTTTACAGGTGTAGGTATCTGCGTAACGGAACTTGACCTTCCCGTCGCGTTGATCGCACCTTCGCCACCTGTTCCATCGAGCAGAGAATCTATCTCGAACTCTATCTCAAGCGCCTTCTGGTAAGATAAGAGGGCTGAACGAGAGGACCAGATTCCCGTGGTGCGTTGATGCTTGTAGGACACGTAAACCCTTTTCTTGAAGGCGGTTAGGATCGCGTCGGTGAGCATTCCCGTGGCATTCTGGGTTCTGTTAAATCAAACGGATGTGGCGTGTACTCTCAGTGTCGGAAAGTAGAGCAGTGGGTAGGGAAGAAGACGTACAAGCGGAAATAGATTAGATTGATGCGGTTGAAGAGGGCGAGGACATCCGAGTTAAGCCGAATGCATGCTTCTGTATACATAGCTGAGATCAGTAACAGCAGAGGTGGGTCAACATATGCGTATTTACCCAGTTTTCTCTTTACGATGGCTCGGAGTGTTTGCTCTTGAGAGGAAAGGCCCAGATGAACAGCTTTCTTTCTATCTTTAGAAGATGCACCACTCGTGCGAGACTTGGAAGAAACGAAGTTGAGAGTTTGTTGTGTTGAACAGGATTCCACGAGAGCGGTGACGAGAGAAGCGTGCTAGAAAACCATAATTAGTCCCAGATGCTATAAAACAGGGCACGGGAAAGAAGTTAAACCAAGCAAGCATATGCATACCTTCTTTCGACAAGGGAGCTTTCTCTCCCTAGCAAGTTTCCACAACTCAGGCACCTTGAGGCACTCGAGCAACTCGGTCAAGGTCATGAAGGTATCATCCTCAGCGAACCACGTCAAATCAACATTGGCTTCGCTCGCAGCTTCTTCCGGAGTTGGTTGAGATGGCTGCACATCGTCAAAAAAGGCTGGTGCAACTTGTGTATCGACGATGGGTTCCACATCTTCGAGCTTGACCGACGACGTATTTCCTCGCTGCTGTGGCTGTAATAACGGGACTTCCTGAGGTTCTGTTTTCACGTTATTGTCCTCTTCGTCGGATAGAGTCAAGTCGATAATGTCAGCTACGGGTGCAGGCTTTGAAGTCGAAGGGGGTGTGGGTGAGCGTGGCGACTCTTTGGACCGGCAAAGACTTAATAACGTCGACTTGATCTCGGAGCCAAGATCTCGCTCGTATTTGAGGTTATCAAGGCGGTACCATTTCTCGGGTTTGCGAAGGGCGAGGCGGATAAGAAGGAATTTCTGCTGGTCTGAGGAATTGGCAAAGGAGTGCATATATGCGTTTCGAATTGTTAACCACGGTGGCCTGTATCACCCAAGCGAGGGCATGAGAATAGAGGAGATACGTACCATTGAGAGCCTGAAACATCTTCAGACACCTGATCTCGGCAGCAGTAAAGAGATGACATTCTCCCCGAACGACAGTCTCAAGCATCTCTGGATGTGTTATGAGTCTCCGAAAACGATACTGTCTACTCAAGCGGAAAATCCTGACTCACCAGCAAAAAGCTTTACATACATCGATTGGCGTTCTGCAGGCGGAGTCTCCTCTTTGTTGGCTTCTGCACCCGTCGAGGCTGGCTCTGAGCCCACAAACTCGTCCGCAGAGAACAAGAGAGCATGCCGAGACTCTACTGAGGGTGAGCCGGGCGTCGTTATCGGTGGCATTACCAACAGCGTTCTTGTATCGTCTCGTCGTCTTTCTAGAGAACGTCCAGGAGCGGGTTCAAGAAATGGATGGCGTAGGAGACTAGAGTGAATACGACAAGACAATTCGCGAGGACTCAGATTGGCGAACGCGCTCACGTGACCGTCCACCCGCGTTTTTACCCACGCTCTTCGACGCCTCACATTAATCGTTGACGCTGACTCGAACAGCGAGCTCGTCCGTCTTCGCATATTAAGCGCTCGATGCTAACAAGAGACCTATTTGTTCAATGGCTGAGGATTTCCGGCTGGCCCACACTCAAGTGCGTTCAAGTGCTGTCGCACCCATCATAGTACTGTACACGGCATCAACATGATGCCATCACGGCGTACGAGCGTGGTATAAACGAAGAACCAGCGCCAGCGCTACGTACGCTGTACTCACGCTCGCCAACATTGTCATGTCCTCTTTCGAAAAGCCCTACGAGATTTCTATCCCAGACTCAGCTCTCTCAGACCTCCAAAACCGTCTTTCTCTGATCCGCTTTCCCGACGAACTCGAAGACGCAAACTGGGATTATGGCGTACCTCTTCGTGACGTTCAACGGCTGGTCACACGATGGAAAGACGGCTACGACTGGAGACAGTACGAGAGAGAGCTGAATGAGACGCTGCCTATGTTCACGATGGATGTCGCTGTGGAAGGTCATGGTGTGATCAACGTGCATTATGTTCACCAGAGGAGTAAGGTGGTAAACGCGGTGCCCTTGTTATTCGTTCACGGATGTGAGTATTTCTTGATATCACATCTTCAGTTTAGGGTAACCTTATTGAACGAGAACACAAAGGGCCCGGAAGCTTCATCGAGGTCAAGAAGATTCTTCCTTTGTTAACAGCATCTTCGCCGGATTATCCTAGTTTCCACGTCGTTGCCATTGGATTGCCTGGTTATGGTTTCTCCGAAGCACCTCGGAAGAAAGGATTTGCGGGCCAGCAGTATACCGAAGTGAGCCACTTCCTTGATGAGCAATGCATTGTCCTTCAGTTGGTCTTACGCCACACCCACGTAGGTGGCCCATAACTTGATGCTTGCCTTGGGATATCAGGAATATGTCACGCAAGGAGGAGACTGGGGTAGCCTCGTCAGTCTTCTCGATAACCATGCCCCGTATGCGCTGGTCGTAAGAGCCTCATGGCAGTTCATTTCCAGATCACTCGCCAAATGGCTGATCGCTACGGTCCCAAACACGTCAAGGCCTGGCACACTAACTTCCCCATGTTCGCCGCTGCTCTCATTCATCTCATTATATTGTTCACACTAAAGACCGTGTCCCCCCGGCTGTTTAGTACCTGGGCCCCTAGTCTTGCCACCAACCCCTTTCTTTACCTTCAACACGCTCTTCAACCCTATACGGCGCGCGAGAAAACCTCTCTCGCACGCTGGGACCACATCTCGAAGACGGGATCAGCCTATCAAGAAATCCAAGACACAAAACCACAGACGCTTGGCTACTCCTTAGCCGACTCACCCCTCGGCCTTCTGGCATGGATCTACGAAAAATTGGTGGCATGGACGGATGCGTACAAGTGGGACGACGATGAAGGTATGACTCACCTTCACGCTGACTTGACCCATCTCGGGGGAGGTGTGGTTGCTGACCTCCGCTCAACGAGTCAGTTTTGAACTGGATATCAATATACTGGTTCTCTCGCGCTGGTCCCGCCGCGTCCATCCGTATATACTACGAGATGCGAGGCCAATGGGCACCGGGCGTCATACCCATCAATATCAAACATGTACCCATTGGCGTCTCCTACTTCCCGCAGGAGATGTACGTCCCTCCCAAAACGTACGTCCCCGTCAACTCTTAATACTCATTGATACTGCTGACCGACTAATATGCCCATTCAGCTGGGTCCACACGATGGGCAACGTGGTGTTCGAGTCCGAACATGAACACGGGGGACATTTCGCGGCGCATGAGAATCCGGAAGCGCTTGTCGGGGACCTCAGGAAGATGTTTGGCAAGGGTGGGCCGGCGTTTGGGGTGGTGGACGGGCGGAATGGGTACGTTCACTAAGCACGGCAGGATATTCGATCTTATGGGCTAGTTGATCTGGCGAGTTAACGCTTCATATTATCTTGTACTCGTCATGACGAATGAGAAGATACTGTGTTTCGAGCGTGGTGATAGCATGGAGAACGGGTCGTGTTGTAAACTAAGTATAGGCCCTTCTGTATTCTAAAGTGAACAAAGCGCCGCTGATATGAATCGTTCACAAACAGCACCAGTATACAAGATGATCGCGGTTCGACTAGTCTGCTCTTGTAAGGCTTATAAGGGAGTCGAAGTCTGTCGACAATCAATCCTCGGTCGAGCAACACTAGCTTCTCGACTGACACGATTCACTCAGCTACTACTCAGCGCCATCTGTTCAGAAGCGGATGGTGAAATGTTTTGGTCAAACGAGTTATGTTCACTCTCGTTGTCGTTTAGAACGTTCATCGTGTGGACCATCTCCCGAAGTGCGACGATTTCTGCGTTCTGCATACCAAAATCAGTCAGCTGACTGTATTGCGCGCTAGGTGCTAGTACTAGCTCAGCGGAGCAAGAACTATGAGCGTACCTTCTTCAGCAGTTCACGCTGTATTGGATTCATAAGCCTTTTAATCTCCCTCCCAAACGTGTGGCAGTCTTTCTGGTCTCCCGCCAAGGCTTGTGCTGCGCGAAACCTATGGATTGTCCAGATGGTCAGCATCTCGGTAATAAGAGTGGCGAAAGAGGTCGGGCACCTACCACGATCGTACGTGGTCTCGAACGTATATTCCCTTTCCGTCCTTACTGCGGGTAATAAACCCTGCAGTGACCTGTTTACAGTTGTGTAGTCGTGTTAGATACGATACTTCCCCTCAGCCTCAAACGTACCATGGCCTGTAACGCGGTCTTGTGGTGGCTCCTACATCGCGGCCCACGATTACCAATCACTTTCTCGTCTTCTACCACTGGTGCACCGGAAGTAAGGATCGAGATTTTCTTTAAGAAAGCCTAATTCTTGAGTGCGATATACTCACTCTGTTCTTCGATCATCTTGTAGGAGATGAAGTAAAAGGCTTTCGGCATCCGCTCGCAAATGTTTGCCAAAGCGTACTTCAGTCCTGTTCAAGATTCGTACCTCAGTCAGGAGCTGACAATGCAATAAAGAAAGGGACAAACATACGGAGATCATTAGTGATCTTTGCCGCCTTTGCTTTCCTATTGGCACCTTTCATGCTCATGTTTGCTCGATTCTGCTGTTTCATAAAGATACCACCCGCCCTCCTTCTCAAACCAGTCCAATTTATGCCCGATAAGACAACGCCACACTTATGCAGGTGGGTAAAGGCGTTTGCCAGCTGTGGAACAAGGCGGAAAGAAGCGCCCACTTTGGCGATGGCTGAGGGCCAATGCTCAGGTAAGAAGGTAGGCATCCCTCGAACTTGAAGTGCGCCCTGGACAGTTGAAGATGTATTGAGCCCTGGAGACACCAAGTTAGTCGCGTTCGTGGTGTTTGACATGGCAAGGAGTGGTGGTGGTGCGTTGACACGGGGATATCTTGGGTCGTGGTCAGAGACGACGGTGAATTACGAGCGCCGGCTGATGTACGGTGGCCAGCTACTATGGAGAGCGTGGGGCTGATATGGGCGTTACCAGCCAGTTACAAGTTCATGTGAGCACTTGAACCCAGATGGTGGGGTAAAAGGGTCCTCTTTATATACCATTCAGTGGAAGAGTACAGGCATCAGTGAAGACAATCGAGCCTTTCAGTCAAAGGATACTCACCATATGGATATACGGATGGAAGGCATGCATGCGGGTGAGAAGAACCCGAAAGAGATTGTTATCATCGAAGCCGCTGGGAGGCAAGAACAAAGGTATGCAGGACATCTTTTCTTTCTTTGAAAGTGTCGAGTCTTTAGAGCGCAAAATATGCAAGCGACGATATCTCTTTGAATAAAGAGTAATGTGATGCGATGGCATCAAAGGCAGAACATCAAACGACAATAGAAGCCGCTTAGCTCAAAGACCATGGCAGTGTTCCTGAGTCCTTTCAGTAAACGAAATGACATAAAGTGAGGTAAAGCAGAGGTACAATAGCCTCGTTCAAAGTTGAAGCTCGAGTGGACCGTTGGATAACTACTGAATAGGAGTCTAAGAGCATTTGATGGGGGCGCTTGAGATGTCGAGCGAGTTATCGAGCTGTTTTTCGGCATCTCCTCGAAAGTCGCTCTTGAGCCCCCATCAAACGCTATCCAACGGTCGTTTGATGATGTCCTCGACTTCAACTTTGAACGAGGCTAATGCGCCGGTGGATCCGCGCGCAGGCCAGGAAACACGCTTCTGTAGCTTCTCAATCCCGCTCTTCCCAAGTCTGAACACCAACCTCCGAGCAATGATCCTATCATTGAGACGGTGCCACCAGCGTGAACATAGAGCGATATCGAGAACGTTTAGAAAACTGGAAATATCACCACGAGCAGAATAATAAGCGAGCTCGAGCCACAGCTTCTATACGATACCCTAGTAGCTATCAACCGACGTTGTTTTGGAGGTATCCTCGAGATCTTCGCTTTCGCCATTTTTAACGACGCTCAGCTCTTGAATCCTCTCCCGAAGTTCAACTATTTCGGCGTTCTGCAGCCCAAAGTTAGTTAACTGACTATCTTCAAGATGTCAGCACGACAACGCAGCTGAAGTATGAACGTACCTTTTTCAACAATTCACGCTGTACGGTGCCCATCATTCTTGCAATCTCCTTGCAGAAAACCTCGTAGTTGTGTGGTCCTCCCGCCAACGATTGTGCGGCGTGTAACCTGACAACGGTCGACACGGTCAGCGCAGTGACATCGGTGGGAAGGATCGAGGACATACCATGACCGGGTGTGGTCCCGGACGTAGATCCCTACACCATCCTTGCGACAGGTGATGAAACCTGCATTAACCTATCAATAGCCGTGACGTAGCGTGAGTCCCGTAACCGGAAGAGTCTAACTATCTCAAACGAACCATAGCCTGTAACGCGGTATCGTAGTGACCCTTCCATCGTGGCCCACGAGGGCCTAATATATTTTCATCCTCTACCACTGAGCAATCATGAGTGATGACTAAAATCCCTGCGATTTATGGCTCCCGTTTACTTACTCTGTTCCTCGATCATCTTGTGAGAGATGAAGCGGAAGGCTTGCGGAGTTCGCTCGCAAATCTGTACCAACGCGTACTTCAGTCCTACGGAAACATACGCCTTGATCAGAATCTGACACCAACGAGTGCAAATAATTGAAGAAAAAGCGCACTGTGATCGTTAGTGATTTTTTTGGTGGTCCTCACGCTCTCAATCCCTCTTCGCCCTTCCTGTTCGAAGGACATCCCATCCATGATCCATCTCCAGCGAGCCGAGTTCATGCTCAGGCCCAAGTATGGGGAGAACACGGTGTAGAATTTGTGCAGTTGAATGAGTTGGTTTGTGAGTTGTGGAACGTGACGGAGAGGGGCTACTACGTATTTGACGATGTTTGAAGAGCCATACTCAGTTATGGTGGGCATTCCTGCGCGATCAGTGTGAACCTCTGAAGACTCGTTGAGTTCGGGCCCCCGGTACAGTAAGTGGGTCGTGTTGGTCGTGTTGGTCGCGTTCGACGATACAAGGGTTTGCATTGGAGATGATGGCCTTTGGGTTTGAATGAGAAGCAGTTGATTCAGGAAAACTCATTGGCGAATGGTTACTCACAGATGGAGGGCTCAAGTATGATTGAGAAGGCTGTTATGCACCGCCTGCGAGTTCGGCCAGCGAACTAGAGTGTAGGGCGAGGGGTAGTTGACGCCAGGGTGAAATGGGCTTCTAGAGCCGACTGATGATTGGAAGAGGCCATTGATATAGCGTCCATCCTCTGGGTATGTATCTGCTGTTTGACCAATGGGCAGCCGGCCTGCATAAAAGAGAACAACGACCACCCACACAAGTGACAAGAGCGTCAAGGGATCGATGTGCATCAACGTGCGAAGAGGCAAGCACATGTTTGTATGGTATTTTGTTTACTCTTTGGAGCAGGTCGACTGTTGAGGGCGCAAAGTATTCCACAAAAATGGAAAGACGACAGCACTATGTATTGGGAGACCAAGAACGTATCAAAGGAACTGATACGAAGAACAAAGCCATCGTTCGCCGCTCTCAGAAATAAGTACAACATTCCCGGATCATCCAGTAGTAGACAAAGGAACTTGAATGGTTACAGTTCGCCGGCTCATCCGTGTACAGGCCAGAAGCAGACCACGAGAACTTAATCCCGTTCTTCCCAAGTCTGAACGCCGACCTCCCCAAGCTCGTCCCATGAATCGCGAATATCACCCTCGAGCCTAGGCATGCCGAGTACGACGAGGTGAATCGTCCTCATCAATCCCTCGTATTCTTGAGCGGAAAGATCCCCAGGCTTGTCGACGCACTTCTTGCCGTCGAACTGGGGAATACGGTTCCCGTAGGGCGGGATCTGAGGAGATCAAAGTAAGACACGTTTCGGAGTGTGTCGGGCCACACTGAACGAAAGGACGTGATTCTTACCGCGTTCAATCTCGCAGCTAGTTCGTCACGCTCTTCGGTGGAGCATGTCGCGACGAGTGCGAGCCAGTAGCACCGAATGCATGAGAGTAGAACGCGACGGAACTTGTACGACGGTTCTGGCGTGAATGCGTAGGGGTGAGCAACCTCGAGCGCTGGAGCATCGTTGACGTAGTTCGTCAGTAAAGCTTCAATGTACCACGGCATCTCGAGCACCCATCCCCTCTCAAAAGGCGCTCTAGACAATCGTCGTCAAGAGCCAGATGCAACTGCGACTACGAAGACAGCTGAAGTAAAGCTCAAAGAGCAAGAGAAGACATACCTGCCAGCCGCTCCGTTTCAATAGTCAGCGCATCAGGAGCATCGCCAGAGTTGAACGTTCTATTGGCAGCATCGCGCCAAGTAACAAGCTGCTCCCTAATCTTCTCGATCTGAGTTTGATGATCCACAGGAAGACTTCCTTGGGGATATGGCGAGAGTGCCTTTTCTTTGAGCGCCATATAAATATGCTATGATAGATCGTCTGTTGACCGAGAATGGTCGATCTACGTTGCCCATTGAGGCCATTGGCAGATATAGAGACTCACATACTACGCAATGTTTTCGCTGAAGATGTCTGAATATTTACAAGTAGAATACAAGGAGTCAGTGAGCACGGGCTGGGCGGGTCGAGATGAGGGAAGGAGCCAAGCAGGATGATGTGGCCGCGTCGCCACAAAGAAGAGCTTGAATTTGGTCGAGTTTGGCACCTTCTTCGCTTCACCGTGACAGGGAACCGTCCCCGCCGTCGTCTCGCGTCAACCTGAACGTTCTTGGTCTTCGTCCTCTCCTTCATCGCCTGCTCTTCTTCCTACACCGTTTCTTTCTTACCTTATGTCCGTCGCTATGGCCTCCCCAGAAGTCCAGGAGATTCGTGCCAAGTCCTACGTTGGTTTCGACTCCATCACCCAGCAGATTGAGCACAAGCTCCTCAAGCGCGGTTTCCAGTTCAATGTCATGGTTGTCGGTGCGTTCAACACCATTTGTCTGCGACGATGGCTCGATGAAGTAGTGTGAGGGTATGCCTGACATGAAAATGAATTCTTTAGGTCAAACGGGCTTGGGCAAGTCGACGCTCATCAACACCATTTTCGCGTCGCACCTTATCGACTCTAAGGGCCGCTTGGAGGCCGACGAGCCCATCAGACAGACTACGGAGATTCAGACTGTTTCTCATGGTGCGTTCCGACCAACATTGAGTGGAGAAGCTTATAAATTGATAATGGAACAGTGATATCTGAGAATGGCGTCAGGCTGCGCCTAAACATTGTTGATACGCCCGGTTATGGCGACCAGGTCAACAACGAGAACTGGTGTGTACACTGCACTTATATCTCCCTCCAAACGCTGCTCATCGTAACGCTCGTAGCTGGGACCCTATCATCAAGTACATCAAGGACCAGCACAGCGCCTACCTTCGCAAGGAGCTTACTGCCATGCGTGACCGCTACATCCAGGACACCCGTATCCACTGCTGCCTGTACTTCATCAACCCCACCGGTCACTCTCTCCGCGCCATCGACGTCATGGTTATGAAGAAGCTCAGCGAGGTCGTCAACGTCGTTCCAGTCATCGCCAAGTCCGACAGTTTGACCCTTGAGGAGCGGGATTCGTTCAAGCAGAAGGTATGTGCCAATAGCTTCCTTTCATTGAAAATGCCCTCATGAGTTATGTCCTCACAGATTCGTGCCGAACTCTTCCACCACAACATCCGCTTGTACCCCTTCGACCATGACGACACCGACGAGGAGGAAGTTCAGCTCAACGAAGGCATTAGGGTGAGTTTAGTTCTGCAACCTATATCACATGACGAAGCTAAGGTGCACTCCTTCGAGTAGAACATGGTTCCCTTTGCCATTGTTGGCTCTGAGCGCGACGTCCTCATCGACGGCAAGTCCGTCCGTGGACGCAAGAACCGCTGGGGCGTCGTCAATGTTGAGGACGAGACTCACTGCGAGTTTGTTTCCCTCAGGAACTTCCTTACCAGGTCAGCTATCCGTTTCTCCTGGTCTGAACTCTGATTGCCTCGAACATCACTAATGCTGGCATGCCAATAGGACTCACCTCCAGGACCTGATCGAGACTACCGCCCAGATCCACTACGAGGCATTCCGTTCGAAGCAGTTGTTGGCGCTCAAGGAGAACGCACGGCCAGCGCAGACCCCTGCCTAAACCCGCCTGTTCCATTCGGGTCCTTCGGCTGATTCTCGCTTCCTTGTATGTCTCTTCTTCGCTTCCGTGTCGCTCATCGTATCGAGTGACCTGACCAGATACCCGACACCATCTTGCCTAGACCAAAAGACTCTACATACCCGCACGTTCCTTCGTGCCCCCTCGTCGCTCCTTGGTCCTTTTCTCCCTTCTTGTGTCTGTGCCTTCGCTTCTTTGAACGAACTCTTTATCTGGCCTGTTGATTATCTCTACGCGTACTCGTACCATGTTCCGTCTCTCCGCCGACATATAGTGTTTCTACATTTGTGCTCTTCCTCTGTCTTTTCTGTCGTTTGTCGGATAATTTAGGGATTGGAATCTGTTTTGATAATCCCGACGGTTTTCTCGGTAGGGACAACGTACTGAATGGGTTGGTTTGAACGATGAAGGCTCTGAGATTTGAGCTCCCAGGCCCGTGAATCCGTGCCACAGTCACGTGATCTCGTCAAACATCGTAATCACTAGTACTGGTGGCGTTCGCCGTTCGCCGTTGGGCCGTTCGCAGAACTTGAGTAACTTGCACGCTGAATCAACGCTCAACACACGCCGTCACCATCCTGACTCCTAGCCACTGCTCGCTTTGTGTGAGGAGGAAACTCGACCTATAGGTCCGTGCTGGGGCCGATACATATTGCCTTAACTTACCAGCCTAGCCGTACTTGCGAAAACGGCTTGAAGAGGATCACGTCTGCTTTTCGACTTGTATTAATTGCTTCCCGATATTCTCCCTTATGAAATGATATAAGACAACATAGCCTACACCCGCAAAGCTCTTTACGCTTGACCATTATCCTCGCAAATAATCCTGTGATATGGCCCACTGGCAAGACTTGACAGCCCATGCTCAGCCTACGGTATGTGCACTTACCCTATCGATGCGGTGTTGTTTTGACTTGTTCCTTGTCAATTTAGCCTGAGTTTGGGAATTACGCTCGGATGGCCCTTCTTGAGACGGGCAACGACACACTAACACCGGCAGAGGTCCAACAGCTTCGAGCACTTGTTGCTAGCGATGAAACAGAGCTCGCTCATATTCACCGAGCAATGCTGCAGCTTACAGCCCGCGAAGAAGTCGTGCGTGCAGGGATGAAGAAGAAGCTCAGTATACTCTGTTTCATCAGGCGTCTTCCACCCGAAATCATCGCCGAGATATTCACCGTCTGGCGTGAGTCTGGGGGACGTTTCGGTAGCCGAACAAACACTACCTTGTGGCCCACATCTCATCTCACTGGCGCAAGATCGCTTTCAACACTCCCCGCCTGTGAGCCCAATCCCAGCTTCGTTTTCGGGGAACAAACTTTGATGACGGCTCACTTGAGACGCTCGAAGCCTTCCTCCTACGATCTGGACCCCATCCTATCGATTTGGAGCCCACAGTGGGCGACACAGTCCTCCGCTCGAAATCGTTCGAAGGGGCAGAACATTTTCTTAAAGCTCTCATCCCAAGTATGAGTCGACTCCAAAAGCTTTCGCTGAGAGGGCTTCCCGGTATCGCTTGGGAAGCGCTGGACAGTGGTACTCCACAGGCGTCGTATTCGATGCCCATTCTCGAAGAATTATATGTTCGCGGAGACATTCCGCCACCACAAGGATCTGCTACCGGAATCTCCGTCTTCCTCGACGCTCCTCGCCTTCGATGCGTGTCCCTCAGTACTGTTGGTGATGAGGGCGCCGATCGCTTGCTTATGCCGTGGTCAAGGCTTGAAACTCTCGACATTTCCTGGTCCACTGCCGCAGATGTACGTCCGGTCCTCCTCCAGAGTCTCTCCCTGGAGCGTTGCCACTTATCGAGCGTGGATACCTGGGACGAAGACGAGCATGTACCTGCCATTCCCTTGCATACCTTCCCTTATCTTCACGAATTCGACATCTGCTTCGAATATGATGCCGGCGACGATGCAACAGGCGGCGGGATGCAGTTCTTCCAGCCCCTCAGCATGCCTGCTCTTGCCCACCTACGACTTGGCGCGATTGCGGCCCACAGCGCACGTAAAGTTCCCCTCCTCGTCCTATACGTATTCACGCGTTCAAAAATCCTTACGTCTCTTTCCATCTATGGGATCGTTTTCGATGTGGGAGAGATGCTCCAGGTCCTCCGTCTTCTACCCATCCTGGAGGAGTTGCGCTGCGAAAGAGGTTACATCGCCAATGACGAACTCTTCGAAGCTCTCCAGTACAGCGGCCCCCCCAATGCTGGCACTACGTTAGTGCCGCGCCTCCAAGATTTATTCATTTTCGAAGACAACCAGGAGCTGGGAAATACAACTACTCAGATAATCGAGGACATGGTATTGTCTCGGTGGTGGTCAGATGCTCATGCAGAGACAGCACAGCAATATGTGGCACGATGGAGGAGTATTCACTTGTGTTGGGAAGGTCTTGGAGAGTGGAAGTTCCACGAAGATGAGGCATTTCGGGAGACGCTGCAGCAATGCCGACAAGAAGGGTTGCAAATAAAGGTTTATTCTGGAGAATTTGCGTTCTAGACTGAGTCCTTCTGCGTACTCTTTCAGAGCGGCTCTGCACTAGCCTAGCACTACGTTATGTGGCGAGGATGCGCAGCTGCATACCTTTTTTCACCATAGAGGAACACGCATATGGTCGTATCCTATCGTCTCGGAACATCGCACAAACTTATTTATAATACAATTTGAGGGACAATCCCTCCACCAGTGTCCAGTAGTACTTCCAATGAGTAACATTGTCCCAGTTCAGCTCATCCTAACAAGACAGGCTTCCCGTCAATCGGAGCCCTCACTAGCGCGAACGGCTTCACCCTATTATCCGTCCCGTTCTGAAATCCGGGACTCAGCCATAACTGGTTGAGGGTGGCGTAGATGAACCCATCATTCGCAACACTGAGCATAGAAAGTGATTCCAACGATGCGTCCATGATACCGTAAGCGCTCAGTCAGCAGGCTCTAAGCAAAGGTTCGAACGGAGGACATACCTGAGCGTATCTGGCCATGCCATGATAGGAGATCTTACGAATGGAAAAACCATACCCGTCTCAGGATCGAACGTATTGATAGAATTATGTTCGGGAGAGGTAAGGTAGATTTTCCCTGTTGAATCGGTTTCGAGGCCGTCTGCTTGGCCACCGTACTGCGCCGATCAAGTACGCGCATCAGCATCCCTATTCTCCGCTACGTCGAAGTGGCGAGGGAGGATAGTTATGAAAGAATAAACTTACCTGTCCGAGGTATTGGACACTGTCGGCCGCCTTTAAGAATGCGAGATTCTCATTCGCGGGGTTGATACGTAGTGCGGCGGTCGGGACGCGATAGAGGTCACGGCTTGCAAGAGGGGTGTAATAGATGAATTGACCATCAGCGGAGATTGCAAACCCTACGTTTATCGTTCGTATCAACACTTCGCATTGGCAGAAACAGGAAATTTTTTACCATCTATTCCACCACCTGCAACTGTCTCGTAATGGAACGCCGGATTCATCGGTGTAGAAATGTACGTTGGAATTCCGAACAGCGTAGGCAGATGTCTTGGGTTAGGTGAAGTGCTATGCAAGCCGCTCAAGTGTCTCCAAGACTCGCCAGTACCCAGGTCGACAACGATGATACCGGCCGCGCCTGCATGAAAGAAAAAAAGAGATGTTGTCAAATTATCTGAGAATACTAGCTCCCGAAGGACTATAGCGCACCACTATCAGCGAGATACGCGACACCTTCTCCACTGGCTGTGAGATTCGCACTGAGATCCAAGCGTACGTCATTCAAGTATCCCAATGCTGGCAGCACAATCTCCGGGAAAGTGATGGTTTTGAATGGTGTCGTAGCATTGTTCGCCACATCGAATCCTACTAGCTTCGGGCCGCCTGGTACGGCAGGCGGGTTGTCACCATTCTACACCACACGGACCACACGTTCAACCCATAGCGTCAGCATTCACATTGTAAAATGGGGTTTAGGAGGAAGTAGGAAAAGAATCGGGAGACTTACGAGGGTTGGACGACCGGTGTCAAGCACCCATAGACGGCCTTTTGCGTCATGTACGGCGGCCTGCACATTGATGAAATGCTCCGAGTCGCTAGAAGAAAGGAGTCTTCCGGAAGAAGAATTGGTAAGTCCGTCTGGTGGAGTGTTGAATTCGGCGCTGGGGAAAGGAACTTCAGCGCTTGAATTGACGATCTCTCCGAGTGTTATGGGCATCGAGGCCAGGTCGCCACTACAAATGTCCAAATTGAACAGACCTCGGTAAGCAAGGGATGGCGAAGAGGGCGATAAAGAAAATGAAGAGAGGCAAACCGATTGAATGTGACGAAGGCGCGACCTGTAGGACCGACTGTGATCCCAATGGGAGCTTCATTCATGAAGAGATGGACAACCTCAAGGTCAGGTCCAAACGTCCCATTGTCAATCAAGCCTGGTTTGTCGGGAAGAGGGTGAAATGTCACGGCCTGAACGAGACAAGCCGATAGCAAGCCAGAAAGATAGACCAGAGCCAGCATGGTTGCGAAGGTTCAGGAATTTCAGGTCTCTATGCATCCCGAATGGGTCGCTTATAAGTGAGCGGAGTCGGACTCTCACACCACGTACCTGTCAACTTGAGGTATGAAGACGCTACCGAATATGTTGCATCATGAGAATGGTCCTGCAGTATTAGGATGTGGTCACGTCACTGGAGCGGTCAGATGTGGGCGAAGTAATTCGGAAGACTCAGAGGAAGAACGTGCTCCCCCAAGCCCAGGCAAGCGAAGTTGTGGCGAGAAAATGATCAAGGAGCGCTTGGGATCGCAAGGCCTATATTTAGCTAATGAGATGACTGAAGCTGCAGATGACGCAGCAGTGTGCAAAAATCTCGACGTTCCTCGATGTTGTTTGGCACGACATTATAGGACATTATATGGTCATATGTAGCCTAATCTGCTGGAACCTTAATTATAGGCGGAATTCAGTACCGGACGAGTACAATAGGAGCAAAATAGCTACCGTTGAGGAGGCAAGGGAATCGAGAACCACCCATCGACTCAGATGGGTCGAAGGCGGGCGTAAAGCAAGATGAGGGACAAGGAACAAACCTGGACTGACTGGTATCGTGTGGACCGCTTGTACGAATACCTGTTGTGCCCACGCCACGCCTTGTTGTCCCGAGTTTTCGAGAACACAGGCTTCCATAAGTTATCATACATACACATTGAAACGCACCACATAAGATCCCATCTAATCCTTTTTATCCTTGAATCCCGTACATAATTCCAACCAAAACATTTTTGTGTATCCTCCTCGTCTTACCTTCATCGAAAAGTACTCTTCACTCATCCAACCAATCCAAGAATTGCGGCGTGAAGTATGTCAACACCAACCCTGCGCCAGCCCTTACAATACTCTCGGTGGTCTCGAAGGCCATCGCCTTCAAGTCATACACTCCAGCCCTCGCACCGGCGACGACCATAGCGTATTCGCCTGAGACCTGGTATGCCGCGAGTGGGTGATCTGGAGCAAGCTCGGAGGCGTGGGAGAGGATGTCGAGGTAGGGGAGCGCGGGCTTGACCATGATGATGTCGGCACCTTCGAGGACGTCGCGTTGCTATAGAAATTCCTTATTTACTTGAGAGGAGAAGAACTTTGAGGAGAGACTAACGATAGCACGACGAGCAAGGCCCTTGGCAGAGGGTGGCAGCTGGTAGCACTTGCGGTCTCCGAACGAAGGTGCGCTCCCTGCAGCATCCCTATGGATAACGTCGTTTCAGCACTCTACGCCACACACACATTCGTCACTCCGCACGACTCACCTAAACGGCCCATAAAGCCCACTCGCAAACTTGGCCGAATAGCTCATCAACAGACACCTATTCCCGAACCCACCATCAATCAATTTCCTCTTGATCGCTTTGATCCTCCCGTCCATCATATCACTCGGCGCCACACAGTGCGCTCCCGCTTCAGCATAAGCGAGCGCAACCTCGGCGATACGCTCAGCGGAGGGTGGAGAGTTGATGGTACCGTCGGAGTGCAGGAGACCGCAGTGGCCGTGAGAGGTATATTCGCAGAGACAGACGTCGGTTGCGATGTAGAGAGAGGGATAGAGTGAGCGGAGGAGTTTGATGGCGAGAATGACGGGGCCCTTGGGGTCGTCGGCGGGCGTACCGCGGTCGTCCTATCGTAACAATAAACAACAAACATATATGAGATGATATACATGGCAAGGAAAGGTATGTAGAGAGACTAACCTTCTCGCAGTTGAGAGGTACACCGAAGAGAATCACACTCCTGAGCCCTTTCTTCACCAATGGCCCAAGGAACTCCTCGAGCCTATCCACGCCCCATCTGCATTGTCCAGGCAGCGAGGCAATCTCTACGCGCGCTTTGGGATCATCGGTGATGAAGATAGGGTACATAAGCATCGACTTGTCGAGTGACCGGCGGGCTTGCCATTGACGCGAGAGGGGGTGCGAATAACCGCCTTGGAGAACAGAGCTTTACAACACATAACCAGAAGCAACATATGAGACGATTTAGGCTTAAGCTAAGACTGAGAAGGTAAATGAGCATACGAAATATCCATGTTATTCGGTGAAATGATAGTTTCTATGAGCTCCGCAATAGCAGTTGCTGTTGGGCGTGAAGCGTAAGAACCAGGCATGAGGGGAAGCCTTGTGCGTACAAGAGAGATTCTCACCTACAACCTAGTAGCTTTTATGTCGTGTTAGACGAAAAAGATATTAGTAGGCCAGACGAAGACACGGTCTACGTGTCGAAGTGTGGTCCTGTGCAAAAGGTGATGTGTGTAAGAATCTGTCCGAGTCGTGCCACCGGTTGATATACGTTGATATCTCATCGTCGGGCGCTCGGCTGAAGTTGAACGCGCTTGCTCGACGTTACGGTTATATTTCTCTCAAGATTCGTGTGGCGAGCCAACCAAAGCCTCGAGGTTCACAATTCATGTCCCACAGTGTTTCTTTTCTAATTTTGTCACATGCGGTGAGTAAGATAGAGGGCGCGGGAAAGCTGTCGGGGAAATGGGAAAATCGTACAATAATCATACCAGGAGCAGGACAGAAGATGTGGTCATGGAAACGTGGGCCACAAGAGTTGAACAAAACATGTATGTACACAAGAAAGAGAAAGAGGGGAGGGCCAGAAAACAACAGCTCAAGGCCATCACTCCCGCTCTGAAGCCTTCTCAAGCTGGTGTCGTTTCCGTGCTCCAGACCTGCCAAATGGATTTCCGTCCGTCAGTCAAAGTTGTCACACCTATCGAACGGAATCGTCGGGTTCAAAGAAAAAACACTCACGCTTCCGAATCCAATCCTCTCTTCCTCCCACTCTTCGCCTCATCCAAGAACTTGTCCACACCAAATACGTCGGACGTGTCCTTCTCGAACTGTACCGGGCCCTCCCTGATCTCCTGATCTTTCGCACCCTCGAACCCAACTCTGGCCTCACCAAGGCCGAATCTATCGCTCTGTAAAGCCTTCCCAATACCCTCCTCAGTCCCACCACCATAAGACTCCTCGTTGCCCTCTTCAATATTCCCACGTGCCTTGTAAATTGCCGCGCTTGCGCTCGAACCGTGGAACAAAGGCTTATCATACAACCCGTAGTTCTCGTCGTCTCCGAAGGAATTCGACAGAGATTCCTGGTTGAATAACCTCGAATCGAGCATTGACTCCTTCGACATCGTGGGCTTGGCGAGGCCGAGTGCAATCTTCTCTGAGATATCGCGGTTCTGTTGTCTCGCCAACATCTTCGCACGTTGCTCCGTACCCATATTGTTCATCCTCATCTCTCGCTCGCGTTCCCTCCTCTTCTCGGCACGCATCTCGTCTCGCACCTTCGCAGCATCTTCGTCCTCCGCTTCGTCCTTCTCCTCGTCCGAGGGTTCGGAGTCGGACCCGCTGTCGCTCCCGTAGGCAGCTAATGAAGACTTCATGGCGGCCTGTGATTCGGCTGTGGGACGAGAGGGAGCGATGCCGGAGCGTTCCTCTCGAGCGCGTTGGGCCATTTGACGGAGTGATTCTTCGCGAGAGGCCTTTTCCTTCTCGGCAAGTTTCTGCTGCATGAGCGCACGTTGGCGGACTTCCTCGCGAGCATGACGGTCTGCGACGAAGAGAGCTTCTGAGAATTTGGCAAAGTTGTCGTTGATGTGCACCTATAGATACAGAAGAGACAAAGATGAAGTAGCCTGAACGGATGAAAAGAACAGATAACGCACATCTTGCAAGCCACGACCATCAGCAGCCAACCGCTTGTCGAGCGGGATGGTGAAACCCTTGTTGTTCTTCCAGTTCGAGATACAAGGCGGAATCATCCACTCCTTCTGCTCCTGCGCCGTCGCTTTCCTCGGCGGACTCCTCAACACCGGCGGTGGCGGACTTGGTGGGCCCCTCGGAATCTTCTTATGCTTAAACCTTGGCGGCTCTAACGGATCCTCTACCACATCCGTCATCTTGATAATCCTTTGCTTCAACCCATCCGCGCCATTGCCCTGCTGTCCAGGCGTGTAACGAATGAATTGAGACTTGCCCTGGCTATCGGGAACGTTCTTGGGCTGGGCGGCTTTGATCTTGCCATTGACGAGTTTTTCGAGCGCGAGACGAGTCTTTTCGGTTGTGGATTGAACGTCCTCTTCGGATGGGCGCTCCATGGCACGGGACTCTTCGGAGAGGTCTTTGCGGTGGGAAAGGGGGACGAGGTCCTTGAATTGGGATTGGACATATTTGCCTTGGCGTTGACCTTGGTGAGCGATGGCGTCGTAGCGAACATTCCCTTCGCTGTCGACTTGCAGAGCGAGAGTGTTTCCGGATGAGGCCTGAAGAAGTACGAGGATGAGCAAGAGTTCCAGGGGTATGATCAGATGAAAGAGAGGCAAACGTAACGACGCCGTCATTTAAATCATACATACCTTCTTGCGGCCCATCTCGAGAGGATACTGTGCGACATGGCACTCGGGATACGCCCCACCGTCGCCTGTCGAAGATCAGTATGGTAACAAAAGGGCAGAGATTATTACACACACCATAATCTTCCTGTGATTTTGGCTTCCACCCTTTTCTCTGACCATAGGGTGGAACGACGGTGCGTATTGAGACAGCTTGTGTCGATGCTGAGGCCTGAGGCTGCTCGAAGTCAAGGTCGTCGTCTTCCGAGATAGCTGGCCCATTGACAGGTGCCGGAAGAGCACTAATACATATATGAATTAGCAAGGCTCTAAATTATAATTATAATACTCACGCGGCGAGAGCAGTGGCCATCATAGTAGGAGAAGTATGAAGAGAGTGATATAGAGGGAGTGAAGGTTGAGAGCAAGAGCACTGCTGGAGCCCACGTGCTGACCAATCGTGTGGCAACCGCAACCGTGACAAAGTGCGCCACACAGCATGCTATGTGGCCCAAACCACGTGATGAGACCGATCGTTGTTCGGTTCGACTTTTTGGGCCGTTACGTCTTTTTACGTCTTGCCTCGATCTTCCATCGACGACGGCGGCAGCGACGAAGGCGAATACGACGAAAGACAACGGCAACGACAACTATGCTCGCCATAACGACTAACGAGAGTGTGTACATATCGGATCCTTCCACCCTTCGCCGTGCGCCTCCATCCCTGTCTCCAGCATCCGACATACCTTCTGGTTCAATATACAGCACCTGGTCTCCCGACGGCACTTCTCTGTACCTTGCTTTTCCTTATTTCATCAACCGTTATGATGCTTTTGGCTCTCTTATGAAAACTGTATACTCTCAAGATGACTCCGAGTCACCTATTTCGAGCCTTATCATCAAAGATAAAGGTTCTCTTATCTTTGCTACTGGAAACCTGGTCCATATCCTCGAGCATTCTGCTTCTCAAACTTCGTCTTCGAAAATTGTACACACTCTCCCGCCTCATCCGGATCCTAATCCGGTCACAGCTTTGTCTCTGTCGAATGATGGAACTGTACTCGTTGCCGCATCCGCCACAGCTGTCGTCACACACAATCTGTCTCTCAACATCCACACCACTCTTCGTGGGCTCAAGACCACGGAAGAGGAATACATAACATCTTGCGTCGTGCATCCACACTCGCGTGTGCGACTGTTTCTGGGTTTAGGCAGAGACCTCATCATCTACGATATGACCCGGCCGACTGGACCTGCGAAAGTCATCCCGCTAAGCGAGGCCACCGAGGGCCACATAGCAGGGATTAGCTGCAGTCCTTATAGCAAGGCCCTTCTGGCGGTTGCTTGCAGTAGCGGATACGTCGGCCTCGTTGATTTGGACAAGGAGCATGGGTAGGTCCTACTTCATCTTTTTTCTGGTCATGATGGATTGTATTCATGTTACCGCCCAGGAAAATTATACGCAGTTTTGACCACGAAACCCCACTTACGTCGGTCACATTCTCGCTCGACGGAGCAACGCTCTACATGGGGACAGTAAACGGGAGACTCCTCGTGCAGTCTCTTCGTGCAGCCACGGAACCAGCAAAGACGGTTACAATAAGCGAATCAGGATATCCAGTCCTCGGTTTGGCTGTCTCGGTACGCGCAAAGTCTATTGCATTTTGCACTCTTGTTCACGACTACCTCTGCCGAACAGAAAAAGCGGTCTATAAAAGACTCCAAACCAGGCACTCCCGCCGCTGTAGCCGCATCCGCTTCTGCTCCAGTCCTCAATCAACAACCCAGGCCTCTCGCCCAAAAGGATACAAACAGTCCTGTCCACGCCCGGCGGCGCGAAACATTAGCGGTCAAATCGCCGGCTGGATCCGCCAACACTTCTCCCGTAGTCTCCAGAGTTCGGACGAGAGTCACTTCCACCGTGGGATCGCCCTCCCCGAGTGCCGATAGCAGTATCGCTAAAGGAAGTGCGACGAATACGCCCGTCAAGAAGAGAGTGGACTCTACTACGGCTGCGACGAAATCGAGGCAATCACCCAACGCGGCGAAAGAGACGGTGCCCTCTAATAACGGCGATGCTGCTGGTGGGTATCTCGTCGGACATGAAATTTAACGCGAGTATTAAGATACATTTCACGCAGTCGATACTGAGGCCGACAAAATCACGGCGCGCCGTACACGAGCAATCAGCGGGAACCTCAAGGCAAGGATCACTCCCACTTCCAAAGCGCCCGCTTACTCGAAATCACCGCCTCCTCTTCCTCTTCCTTCGGCATCCGGTGCAACTCTCAAGCCTAGACCTTCTCCCTCGCGAGGCTCTACCGCGAATGTCCGTACGGCGAAGTCGTCCAGCTCATCTGCAGTAGCTCCTGGGCCCAACACAGAAGCCGTCCCCGAAACCATCCCCACGATCTCTGCTCCCCACATACGCACACGTCCAACATCTTCGACCGGACGCACGGTCGCCAATACTGCCTCAGGATCAAGCCCCGCATATAAACGCACTCGTACCGTCTCCGCCTCCTCGCCCAAGAGTCCCTCGAGTCTGACCTCCGGAAGTCAACCCAGTGTGAGGAGCAGAACACTTTCTACTGCGAGTACGGCTCGGACTTCGGTCGTTAGTGGGCCTACAAAAGCCTCGATCACCATCACGGCCAATATGGACGACGATTCCGGTTCCGCTCCCAAATTGCGAACGATCACAGGCTCGAGCTCTGGGTCCGGAACGACTGCATCCACTGGTGGTACGAGATCAAGAACAACGTCTCGTGTGGCTCGTTCCGGATCTGGAGGCGTCACCGTTGCTCGTTCGGGTTCACCTATACCGCCAGTTCCGCCTTTACCGAAGAATCAAGTCGATGCAGCGAGATTACAGATAGAGAAGATGAGGCAGGGTCCGGTTTGGATATCAAGTGGGAGTGCGAAGACAGCACCGGAGAGGGAGGAAAGGACGCCGTCGCCAGATTTACCCATGCCTTCCCCGGTTAGGGAGAATTTGCTTGATGTCGCTGTTGGGCTATCGGAGGAGAGCGACGGAATGAAGGGTATGGGGATTTTGGGACTTGGGACGCCAGAGGTTGAGCGGTGGATTCGTGCGGGGCAGGAAGACAACATCTTTCCAGGAGAAGAGAAGGAAGATCGTAAGAGGGTGGGGTTCGATGTTCGCGACAATGATGTCCACGAGGACAAGGGCCTGAATCAGGAACCGGAAACCAGCCGACTGGAGGACGTGGATATTGATGGTGAAGAGGATGCCGAAGTGCAGAGGAGGCTGGCGGAGCACGAACAAAGGCTTGAGGAGAAGTCTTTGACCATGCAGATTACCCCGCGGCGATTGGGCAACCTGGGAGCAGGAATGAGCTCTCTGCCCTCACCGTTCATGCATCTTGCAGCTGTATCACCGCATAATGTCGTTCTTCCTAGGAATGGGTCGACTAGTAGTGGTTTGAACGGTGTGGGTGGGAGCGTGCCGGGAGGTGGAGGTGCGCAAGGATTATTACATGCGCTAATCCAGGAAGCCATGGTGGACTTTAGACAGGAGACGAAAGCAGAGATGGTTGGGTTGCATCTGGATCTGTTGAGGATGGGGAGGGCTTGGAGAATGGAAATGAGAGGCGTGATGGAAGAGTATGGTAGTGAATTGAACGAGTTGAAAGAGGAGAATAAGAAGCTGAAGGAGGAGAATGAGAGATTGAGGAGAGGTTATTGACGAATGGCCCACATAGGTGGCCCAGAATATGCGGCATGGTGAGTGATAGTTGGTGGTGCGCTGGCGCTTTGATAGAACGAATCGATCGGTATCCTCTTGCCTTTCAGACTCTCCAGTCTTATTCGACTTTCTCCCTTCCTCGCTTGAACATGTTTATGATTTATTGATCACACTCTGCGTATCAGCCTTGGGCTGCTTCATTATCTGTATATTTGCGAGCACTGTATCTATACGGACATACGAGAAAGAAACGATTATGACGGCTTCCACGCTTCTACACACGCTGCAAGATGCTTTTGGGTTGGACCGTGATCGGTTCGAGAGGTCCAACGTTCTCCCATAATCGCACCAAACATGGACGATCCCAATGGTATGTCTCTGTCCCTGCCCCAACTATGACTTTCTGCTCCTTGTAGCGGTGACAAATAATGTATGTTCAATTTCAAGCCCCATTCCGACCGACATGCCTGGTATTTGGCCGAGACATTGATGATCGATGCACCAGGTCGTTCTTTCCTTCCAGAGGGGGAAACAAAATAACATGTATTTATATGTATTATTAATCTAGAGCAGTATACGGTATTCTCCCTTCGTCTAAGATGTCCGCGATCGGCATCTATGCGCAAAACCATCTTCAAAGATGGGGCGTCGGCAAATCTCCCCACTGGACCAGCGCCCTCGGCCTCTCGCTGACCGTCAATCCCTTCTTGAACGCTTCAACATCCTCCACCTTCTTAACTCCCTCTGGCAATACACCCTCGTAATCAGCCTTTGCCGGGAATTGTTTGATCAAGTCTGGTAGCGCCTCGAACAACCCTTCCATCACTTTCGTCCCTTCAGCACCTTTTTCTTCGAGCGCAGTCTTCCAGAACTTAGCAAAGTCGAGCACGGAAGGCTCGTTCTCCGCGGTGCCAAATTCGTCTTTCCATGGAATTTCGTCGATATCAATGGACGTTGAGGAAGATCTCTGCCGGGCGAGCTCAACGAAGGCCTGGAGCGCGGCGGGGCTGACGTGTTTCGTCCTGGGCTTTTGCGAAATGGCGTGAACAGAGAGTTTGGACCGGGTGGTTGACGAAGGATGGACATTTGACATGAAGAGGGAAAGGACGTCTTGCTTCGTCACATTCGTCAGATGCGCAACATTATTCTGGCCTATTGGACGCCTCGTCAGAACTCCTCGTGAAGCAAAAGAGTAAATAAAAGACGTACGTCTCATGAAATCCAGATACCCGGACTCAATATGCGCCCAATACCTCGTCATCTCCTGCCCTACGTTCTTTGGCGCCTCCTGCCACTTCTCCTTCAGACCATCCTTCTGCTCCTGGAAAGCCTCTTCACTCATTCCTTCCAACACTCCTTTCATATGCTCCAAGAACGCCTCGACCCTCTCCTCCAAATACACTGGGCCCCTCTCGCTCTGGACCACAATTCTCAAGCCTGTATGACCGGAGCCTGAGGAGAGCCATTGTGATGCTGAGACGATGTAGCCGAGCTGCTCTTTGGTGCGAAGGATGTCGAAGGCAGGTTCGGAAAGGATCTGAGTCAGGAGGTCGGCCGTGACTCGCAGGTGTTGAGAGGTTGTGGGGCCGAAGTGGGTGTAGTAGATCAGAGCGGAATTAGGCTCGTTCGGATTGGGGACGGGCATGGAAAAGACGTAGTTTGAGCCTATGGATACAGACGTTAGTAATAGTCTGGTGTGGAGCAGAAGCTGAGCCTAGATACGAACCTTTGGGAAGCAATAATGCAAGGTCGACGACTTCGTCTGATGGCAATGATGTCGAGCCGAGGATTTCCTCAGTCATTTTCGCAAGGTTAATAGCTTCCTGTATACCAGACGAGCCATCAGAACCTGATTTGTCCGGTGAGAGAGAGCCGAACTAACATCCTTGTACAGATTACCGCCGACAAGCATATGAACATGCGTCTTCGACAAGAGTTTGCTGATGTGGGCCTGAATCGTTTCCTCCGTAACAGCTATCACATCACCGACACCATTAATACTAATAATAAAGAACGGGGAGTGGAGGGGCTTACAAGGCAGGACCTTCAGCTTCTCGGGCAAGGTCCACTGTCTTTCGCTCATGAGGTATCTTCCGTAATAATCCGAGATCCTATAGGACTGTCCAAGGAAGTAGTTCTCCCAGCTGCGTTTCAACTACATTTCGTTAGTTAGCAGTGCTCATACTACTGCTTCAACGATAAAGGAGAACACAAGGCCCACCTGCTCCTTCATAACCTCCACCCGATCCCTCTTAACTTGGATGGTCTTGATTCTCTCGAGGACATGCTGCAGCAAGACGTGCAATTTGTCATTGTATCCTTGCACATGAACGAACATCCCGCTCGAAGATGAAGAGAAGTTATAACTGAGGCCAGCCAAGTCCGCGTCGTAGACATACTCCGTGAGGGAGTCTTCTACGAGATCGGAGTATAGTCTATCGATCCGAAGGGATGAGTATGTGCGTCAGATCAGTGGCATAGCAAAGGGCTTACCGAGTCATAACAGTTGCTAAAGGAGTATCGTCCGCGAATGGACTGAGAGAAGTGATCAGGGTCAGATCTGTGAGCAGCCAGGTAGTCAAGATGCAACATACCTCCGAATGTCGAGGATGACACTGGCCTTAGGAACCCAGAATTGATCGTCTTTTTTATGCCAGAGCGTCGTAAGTTCAGTCTTCCGAATAAGGTGTGGTCGTGGTTGAGGCTAAACAAACACATATTAGTCTTCACCAATAAATGAAGACAGAAGAGAGACAAGTGAAGAAGAGTGGAGAAAAAACGTACCACAGAAACTTCCTTCTTCTCGACATCTAGATTCATCGGCACGAACTCATTCGGTCCAGGAAGGTGCAGCTCCGGAACGGTACAAGGACCATCCGCCTACAAAACAAATTCCTATAAGAATCAAAGCACAACCACAAGCAGTGACGAAAGCTCACAAGTCGGACAAATTCCTCATCCATCTTCACAACCTTATACTCCGTCCCATACCACGGCTCATTCTCCCACTCCCCCTCGCCACCAACTTTCACATGCTCCTCCTTTCTCCCCATCAAAACAGCTCTTCCCTCAGCCACCCTCAATCCCTCCAACGTTCTCCTCACCTCCTTCTCTGCCTCACCCGCCTCATCCCATTCCCATACCACCTGTGGGGCTTTGACCACCAGTTCCCTTGGCGTCGGCCACGCCATTTGTGCTGTCATCCATACCGCATAGTCGTCCGGACGCGATTTCTCGGCGAAGCGGAAACGGGTATGAAGCAGTTGTGAGAATTCTTTCTGATGCCATGGTTCCAGAGCGGAGGAGCGGAGAAGGGAGAGGTAGGAGAACACGGCCAGAGCAGCTTCACGGTAGTTGGCTACGAACAAGCAACAACATAAGTAGATGACAGAGATAGTATACTGCAACGGAACACATGGGAAGAAACGTACCGAATCCATCCTTTGTCATATGCAATGTAACTTTGAACATCGCAAAGCCTCTGCCCAGGTTTTGCGGCCCTGCACTCAACGCCGTCAACCAGCCCTTATTCTTTAGATACGAATGCAGCGATCCGGGCCCTTCGTGACCTACTAGGCCAGCGAGGAAAGTGCCAGGCTTGTGCCGCCAGTGGGGAGGTTGATAGTCAAGCGGGAAGGAGATCTCGAGGATGTGGAAGGCCATGATAGTTTGGACTGATACGAGCGTCTAAGGAAGGTGTGGCGTAAGTCATGGGTGGCGAGGGCAGCAATGAAACAGACTTACGCTTTTCTCCCCCGGACCGAAGGGGTGATCTGGGATCATAGGCAGAGGCTCTTGGCCCCTATTCTTGATCGGGGAAAAGTTCTCCGTGACCATCTCTGCAAGATCGTCCAAAGAGTCTGAAACATACCAACATTAACACATTGTTCGCCAAACAGGCTACAGATAGGCTTACCCTTTCCGATGACGCACAACCTCATTCTACTTGCGCAATACTCCTTACTCCACCATTCAATCAACCTCCTCCTCGTCTCCCTTCCTACAAGCCCGCCGTCCGCCTCGCCCACCTCACCAATCGCCGAATTCACCGAAGGAGCAGGCGACGGTATCCTCGACGGGGCGGCACTGGCATTCGGCGTCAAAAACCCATTACCATTACCGTTAACCGTCGATTCAGCAGCGACCCTCTTCCTCTCGGCTGCCTCCACCGCTTTTGCCTCTCTCCCCACCCTCGTCAAAGTCTCCTTATTCCCGCTACCGAATTTATTCCAGACATGCCCTTCCTTAGTCAGATGTTTATTGAGCTGGAAAATCCTCCAGACATCGTTTTGGTGGTTCTTTTTGTGTTCCGAGTCTACGGCGTTGAGCTCGCGCACGGTACACGAGGGGGCGAAGAGCGGCGAGTGGAAGAAGCCGGAAAAGCGGGAAATGGCACCAGGGAGGGCGGAGGGTGCAACATTAAAGTAATAGTTCGTGTTGGACGATGCGGTGTAGGCATTGGAAGAGCCGTTATTTTTGGAGAGATATTCGGAGTATTCATTCTCTTTAGGGTATTGCTCCGTGCCCTGAGAGTTTTTGATTATCAACGCGTATTTATTTTGATAGTACGAACTGAGGCTCACCATGAACAAGAGATGTTCGCAGAAATGTGCGAGGCCAGGCATGTCAGCCTGAGATCAACTGTGTTAGCGCGATCAGAATAGGTCACATTCGGCCGAGACATAAGAAAAATAATATGGACTAAACGTTGAATGCGACCACTATCCGTATGGACCACAGTACTCGCTGCCAGCAGCAGCCAGTTGTGAGTTCTCCACAGCATCGAGGAAGTTGATCGATACACCTGATCCAGGACCTACGCACACTGCAGCTTCGCCATTTGTGCTTCAGAGCTCCACGTCGTCTGTTTATCACATCCTAGGCTCATTGTATGGAGCCTATTCCACCGGGAAAATGCTTCGAAGTCTCAACTCGGTACCTGCGATGTCCTTCACGAGAACGGTGGCAGGTAGCACATTCAATATCAGAATGCTTTACTGATACAACGCATTCGAGAAATAAAAGAGACACCAGGGTCTTCTCAATCGGATACAGCCCATGATGAGGTAACAGACTCCGTTTAATGAACAGGACCGGTGAATGATAGACAGTTTGTGCCGAACGGTGGTGTGATAAATGAATCCGCAAGCTGCCACGCTTGTGATGATGTTTCCATGTATGAAACACAGGAAACTTTGAGTGCTCAGACCGTGCTTGACGAGAAGAGGATTCCGACCAAGATGCAAGCGGAACTGAGCACCGGAATATCATCGCCTTCCATGCAGGCTGTCGTCCGAGATGAGAAGTAGGTACACCCAATGTGGCCAGAGGTCGTACGATGTTCATTTCCACCACCTAATAAAATGCGACGGCGGGCAACGAGGAGACAACGAGGATAATGCCTGGACCAGATGCGCATCATTCGAAGAGTATCGCCTCGACGATATGTTCTCCAAACAAAAGCGTGGCGAGCGCGCAGGACCCCAAATAGAATGAGTGAAGACGGTGTTCCATTATTGAACAACTTCGCACGACAATGCGCGGATCACACCGTGGCAGAGGTCTCTGTCTCGACCATCCACAAACATCGACAACGCACAACACGAGGCCACAGAAGAAATGCTTACCGGATCATAGAGGTGTCCCACCGCCACATCGAGACTTGCAGCCGCCTTGTCCGCCTTTGCGTCGTGAATAAGCATGGCCTGCAGCCCGTTCTCCAGTCTGATCAGCCTGTAGTCCCTGTCGTCCTGTTGAGATTTTTCGATGGGCTTCGTGAAGTACGACAACTTCAACCCCTTGGCTGATTCAGCGCTGTGCCAGTCCGCGCTCTGATCTGGGGGTGCCATCGTCGTATATGCCCTGTAAGTAGATAGTGGTGGTGGTTTGTAAAGAAGAGATGCAAAATTGCGGGGGTGACGAGCAAGACGAGGGAACATTCACTTGTGCGGTCGTTGTGAACCGTGCCAGTCGGCTCAGAATAACGCGCCTCGGTTATTGTTCGCTTGTGGCACAATTGCCGCTCCCTACGGTAAGACGCGTAACCCCTAACCCAAGACCACAGCCGTTTGTCGGAAGTATACGTGATCCCACGCGGCGACCCAAAGTAAGAAAGAACGACGATTGTGCATGTTCGCCTCAAGGCGTACTCGGCCTACGCCCACGACCGCTGCCATGGGGCCTATAAAGTCCGGGCCTTTCATTAAACCATGTCTCCAACATACCCACATCAGCTTTGACCTCACCAACTCACCCAGCTCTTTCAAGCTTCACTACCTTTACCGCTTCTCCCTTCTTCCCACTAATGGCTGTGCTCCCTGCTCTTCGCATTTTCTTGTACTGCTGTCTGGTGAGTTCTCGCGTCCTTGATGGCCATGAGCATGCAGAAACTGACGAAAAGTAATGACGTACATGTAGCTTGTATTCTCTATCGTCCTCCTTGGCCTTTCTGCAGCTAGACTGCACTACACCAGGCATCTTTCCCCCTTCGACCCGGTAAGCAGAGTGACGAATACCATGTATACAAAACACTGACTGAGCTCTTGGCTTTTAGCTCAATTCCGGAACTCCATTCACTGGTGAGCATTCCGTTTAAAAGTATGATTGGCCTATACTTACTGTTGCGACGAGCAGATCCCATAGTGGTCGAGATCCTCGTCACCACAATCCTAACTATTTTATGGGTTCCCTACGTGTACGCCACACTGCCCACTACCTTTCATCTGCACGTGTATTGACCTACGCGTCCCTTTCGACAGCCTCCATGCCATCATCAAAAGACGTGAAGGAGGGTTTATCTGGACCTTCTTCCATGAACTCATTGCGCTATTCGTCCTCTTCGTTCTCTGGATAGTCGGCGCCGCAATCGCTACCGTAAGTATATAACCCTCTAACGTCATGCCTCCCCTCCTCCACCTGTCCTTTACCCTTTACCCCTTTCATTTCATTTCATCTGTACCTATTTCTATCTTCATACGTCATACACCTGCTAACCTCCTCTCCTTTTTCCTCCTCGTGTTGTCCACCTCCAACCCGCCAAACCACCAGTCCCACTGGGGTGCACTCTCATGGTGCCAACAGTTCCAACCCTGCCGTATTCTTACGGCTCTCGTCGCATTCGTCTGGATGGGATGGATCATGGTCGTGTTCCTGATGTTCGCAAGCATTTTGTTCTGTATTGCGAACCGTGCATGGGGAGAGCCTATGCACGGCAGGGTATACCCTCGTGACAGCACCGTGTATCCGCAGACGACGCAGTACAGGGCTTCGAGGACGGCGTAAGGCGTTAAGTTCGCCTTTCATCGCTCCCTATCGACGTGGGTGGCGACATTTTTGCGTCGCGGGATGTTAGCCCCAGATGGGAGGGGTGAAGTTTTTTTGTCGAGGTTGTGGATACTAGTACGCGTCTTGTGGCGTGATGTTCTGTCTTTTGGCTTGTTGTAGACTCTCTGTTACCAAACTTATGCTTGTTTTACCACGTCATACACGAGCTTAGCTCTCTTTGTACCACCACCATCCTTCCTGAAACTCCTCATACGAGTCCTTCTGTTGTGCGATGGATTTTTGTAGCGTGCCTTGTGACTACCATAACTATTATTGATGAATGCGACACAGTTGATCTTATCGCTGTTCATCTGAAATAGAGCTTTCTATGTTTGATCATGGACTGATGTTATTCATGATCATGTAAGTAATAGAGGGTGATAGGAAAAGGGTCACATACATCTCGCGTCGACTCGGAAGCGCTTCATACTGTGGCCCAAACACTCCCCACAGCACAAAATTCAAATATAGAATTCGAGCGGAGCTTGAATAATAACAACTCTACCGAGCGACGTGGCTCAATCTGACCCAGCAAAGCATATCAGAGTGCGCTAGTGAGTAAATATCCTTTTCTTTTCGTTATCCTCCATAGTCGCCACATCGTTATTTTTGTTGAGCTGAAGGTTGCGTCCGTAGTCTCCTCGATGTCGGCGACAAATGTTCGCGTCACGAATATATCGAGCCTTCCAATCGAAATACTCACGCATATCTTCTCCGATGTCATGCCTCTGGAATTTGAGACCAAAGCACCATATGAATGGACGCAACACACAAATATACGGGATGCCCCAGTCCTTTTCACGAGAGTGTGTCGAAGATGCACTACGGAGGTCGGAAAGGGTGAAAGCCACCGAGAAATCACCTCCGTTTTGGGCTGATTTCGACGCGGCGTGTGTTTACTTTCACCGGAATGTGCTCCGACGCGGTGATTTTTGACGTTGCACGGGGTGATTGGAACGGGTTGTCTTCACCCCGTTAATCCTCTCTTTCACCATTCGGTTTCGAGGGTCTCGAACAGTCAGTTTTAGCCATTTTACAAGGTTCCTTTCACTAGCCATCTATTCATTTCTTTCGGTTTTTTGTCGAGGGTGATTATGACTTCTTGTTCACTATTGGCTTGGTCATCAACATTTGTCCCATCGTCGGCCGCTGTTCGGCACGGCGCCCACCTACT